CATACATACACACATTTACTCAAAGGAAGGAGCACGAAAGACTTCCATCTCATGCCAGGAGTGCTCTCCCATTTAACTATACTAAATCACTTTGCAATATGAAATTAAAATGCCTGCTGGCAACGCGACAGTAGCTCGGTAATATTTATCCCTTTGCATTTTTGTGCGCAGACGACAAAAGTGTTTGCCTTGCATGCTGCCAGTAACTTTGTGGGAGAATTTTGAAAAGCCAGCTTTTGAAGAGAAAAAATGGCCGAAAGAATTCGTTATTATTATTGGTGAAAAGGCTATAAAAAAGGGGCTGAATCAGTGCAAATGTAATATCTTTGTTTATGTAATGGGCACAGCTCAAGTCAAAACGAAGTTACCCTCAGTACGAATATCGAGGGATCTTACCAAAGAATGGTTTGTGGTCCCAGAGAAGTATCTTGCGTTCATAACAAAGAGCTTAATGAGAACGAAAAAAGAGGAAATGAGGAAAAATATAATTATACAATTAGTATTGAGGACTGTTAGATATACATATATTCCTGTTTGTATAGTGCAAGCAGGTTTAAGAAATCTTGCGAAAGCAGTAATACTGTGGAATAACCTCTGAGATTCCGGCTCACTGTACCTGGCGGCGATTTGGCTAAAATATTACAAAACACTGGCATCTAAGATTGGATTTTCTCCCGGACACAGGATAAATTAGAGCCACGGTCATGGAACCCGCTTCATATATTTGTTCAAGCAGCAGCAACATCACAAATGTATTCCCGGGTCTGCGAAGATATGGACTTTCTGACTATGCTTGGACAGGAAATTTCATGTGGAAATTCCTGAACGGAAAGTCTAGGCAAGTGGGATTTCTGACCTTGACACTTGATATGCGTGTGAGTTGGTACATAAATGGATCAAGAATGGAAAACAGAACTGGCGCAAGTATTTATGGACCCGACATTTAACTTTTTAGTGGCAGAGGTGACCGCCAAGCCGAATGCTTAACCAAATATCCATTCATCATTCTTATAATTGCTAATAATATTTAATACTGAGAGCGGACTCCCATGGGTTGTTTTCTTTTAATCAGAATATAAACTTTAAATTATTTAAGGTTGACCATAGTTTTTGAGAAATTTCGAGTGGGTTTAAGGATTGAAAAAAAACTATGGTTTTGCTATTTTGAACCTTCGTAGTCAAATAAAGAACCATATTTTTTAAAAGTTAACGATTTTTTTTTCTTTTATAATCAGTATTCTTGTAGTTCGAATTGGAATAAATCTTCGAGTGACACAGATACTTCATAAAATGAAAATGGAAATGAATAATGAAGATAATTTTCGAAGACTTTTGTTTATAAAAGTCATCAATAAAAATCAGTCAGTGACTTTTACTTTTAAAAGTCATCAATATAAATCAGTCACCGACTTTTATGTTTTAAGTTATAATTGTTATTTTGGATTTATAAAACAAAAATCATAAATAACTGTTATTTTAGGAGTAATTAAATAAAAGTCAAAAAATAACTGTTAAAGAGCGATATTTTTAAAAAAAGTTGTAACTGTTAAGGTCCCTGAAATAAAGTAAAACTAATTTTTAAAATTGACTCTAATTTGGGTAATAAATAATACTCCTTTTTAAGTTGAGCTATACAAAATTGGTTTCATTTGGTGGTCTTCAAGCTTTGTGGGCAATAAGAATGTTAATTTTAGAGTTTGTGGGTTGAGAATCATGTGGCATTTTCTTGTACTTTTTGAATAATGGAATTTTTTCTTAGGAAACTTCCACGTGTGTTTTGCCATGCTATGCCATGATGTTTGTTTTTACGTTTTTATTTTAAACCTATATACCGTAGTCATCGTATGTTATCGATAATCGTTGAGTTTTTACAGATAACTCTATGCTGTGTGGAAAGGCGTGAGGAAAGTTACGATCTGAACATAAATGAGCTCGCGCATATATTTATGCACTGCCAGCTGCTCCAAAACCTATTCCCAAGGAGGTGCATTTAATACGTCTTCAATGTATTTTCTGTTACTCGTACTTTCATCATATAAATTTCAGAGTCGTTCTGATGTAAAGCGAAGTTGAATGCGACTCATTTAAAAATTTATGAGCAAAATCCGTCATTTGAATTGCAAGTGTCGTAAATACTTGTACCGTGAAGGAGTTAAATGAATGTGGGCTTACATACATACATACATACATATGTACAACAAACATATTTACACATTTATGCACTGCACTGTTCACCATATGAAACTGCAACACAACGTAAATTGCAACAATGCAAATGAAAACAAAGAATAACTTGGCAACACCGAGACCCGCCGGCGCAGCAATGGTGGCGACAGCAGTGGCAGGTGGGCTCCAAGGCAGCCCACAGCGTTGGTCCATCAACTCGGCTTGGCAAAGAACGCACCCACAACCCATATGCACTTGCACACTAACACAGATGCATGCAAATCCGCATACATATGTGCGGCCATTTAAAATTCATATGCAAATGTGTATCGGTGTGTGTCGGTGTGTGTTGGTGTGTGCATTGTGCGGCGTCACCCAACCGAAATGCATGAATGAATGCGTTAATTTTGCATGAAGCACAACAACAACAACAACAACAACGTCAGCCAGCAACCAACAGCATGCATCATGACGCGTCAACTTCTTCGACTTCAATTGTTGCCCGTCGACCGAGCGCCGAGCGCCGCCCGCTATAAGCCGTGATTGTTGCTCTCTGCCAGTGTTGCTGCTGCTGCAAAAAAAAAAATAAGTTTTCATTTTCAACTTCGTCATCGTCACCGTCATTGTGGCAACTTGACTGCCATCGCTCATTCGCTCACTCACTCACTCACTCGACTATTGCCGAATTCAATAGCGCTGCACATTTGTTGTTGTTGTTGTTGTTGCTGTTGTTGTTGTAATGAGTTAAATAGTGAGTGTAATGAGGCAATGACCCCATTTTTGTTTGCTCTATGCACATCGCCGAAGAAGTTGCATCAAAAGCTTTGGAATGTTGCAGCTAAAGGCGACTAAGCGAAGCGGAGCGAAGGATGTGTGTGTCACTTGGAAGACACACACGCACGCACAGAGGATAAAAACTTATTCAATTAAACGAATGAGCTTTTGCATTCCAACACGGAAGGGTTACGAAGAGCAAGTGACTGCCTGCGTTTTGTAAAGCTGAATGGGTGGTATGGGTGGGCTAGAGGGGCAGAGGCCATAAAGCTACAGCAAACAATCTAAGAAATTTATAAGCGTCTCAACTACTTAAGTAAAATATTTGTGTTTAAATGACACGGGATTGAAGAGGGACTCTACCTGGTTGGGAGTGGGAAGCATCCGATCAGCGGAAGGACATTCATATATGTACATATGTATGTATGTATGTAGGGTACCAGAAATTGGTAGAGATTATAAAGCACCCTGTTTCTCAGGTTTACAGTATCATTGGTTGCTCATTGGTTTTGTGGCCTAAGGCAGAAAATACGGATTCAGAAACAGAGATACAAAGCTTATATTAAAAGTTTAAGATAGGTTAGAACGACAAACCTTGTATGGCTTTGTGTGTTCCAACCAACCCGTGTGGTCTTCCAACGATGTGAATCCACATTCCTCTATGATGGTATTCCTGCTCATCGTTAAAGTTGGACATTTGCAGATAAAGTGCTCTACTATTTCCTGTTCGTTATCATATATGCAGTATTTTTACTTAAGTAATTCATTGTGAGCGATGACCGCATAACTTCGTCTAAAAACGAGTGGCAGCCTGTCGGCATTACTCCATTTTTGTAGACATTTTCCGGTGTATAGTTTTTTTATTGTCGAACTCATCAGCAGCCTCATTTAAAGTTTCTTCGACCTTTCCTGACTCTTTAATAAAACTGAGAAAAATTTTAGCGCTGGTTGTCGAAATATTAGCAAAGCAAATACATACATATGTATTATATGTAGGGCAGAGGAAAAATTAGAGAGCGAATTCGGTCAATGCTTTCTCGCACCGATGTAATACCAATCACCAGCATCGATGTCCAGAAGGCACTTGATATATAAAGGGCATACTTCTCAATACTTTTGAATGGCCACACAGGTGGCACTTTTGATAAAGAAGAACGCATACCAATGTATACTTGCCTTCGCATTGCCCTTTCCTTTTTTCAACTTTTTAGTGACGATTGTATTCAGCTGTTGCGTAATTAGGAAAAAAATATATATTCTCAAATCGAAAAGATGTGAAATAAGTTTTCATATAGAATGGGGTAAGACCACTGCTTAATTAAAATTACTGTTTTTCCCAGCAGACATTTGGAGTCTTATATGTGATAAGGAGTCCTATACGCTCATAATAAGCTCATTTAAGAGTCCAAAAGGAAGGTGTTTACCTTCCTACGAAGGTCGACTTATACGAGCTTAAATTCGTACATCAAATGCACCTCAATATGAGTCATATTGGACTCTTACAGGCCTCATATACGGCTCTTTTCGGACTCTTCAAGAAAATTTTTGCCCTCATTTATGAATCAATTCAGACTCTTTTTGAGGCTCATAAATGACTCTTATTGGCGGCCAGTGTGGTGTAGTGATTAGCAGTGTGCGCTACCATACCGCAGGACCTGGGTTCACCCCAAATAAAAAACAAAAAATTCTTTCTAATAGCGGTCGCCCCTCGGCAGGTAATGACAAACCTCCGAGTGTATTTCTGCGACGAACAACAGCTTCTCATAAAAATACAATCGCCGTTCGGAGCAGGCGTAAAACTGTAGGTCCCTCCCATTTGTGTGACAACATCAAGGCGCTTGCCGCAAATCGGAGGAGAAGCTCGGCCAAATACTAATATCATAATGTGTAACCGCGAATCTATTATTATTATTACAAATGACTCTTATCGGCTTCGTAACTCTCTCGGATTCTTATTTTATTCTTTATTTGAGCTTCTAAGACCGAACCTGAGCGAACAGAATATGTTTTCGTGGTTATTACATCTGATTTTTTATCTTTCAAATATTACTATTACTTACCTCTTTTTCATATTTGATGCAAAGATTTCCGAGTCCTGAAACAAAATAGGGAAAACAAATTAGTGTTTTTCAGAGATTTTTTTTTAAACATGCAATACATTTTTAGAAATAAAGGCCACCCCTTCGTGACAAGATGGTATCGAAATATTTCTCCTCAGCTTTATATAACTTTTAGAGTAACTGGGCACATCAAGGGCACATCAAGGTCTCTTTTTTCGAGGCTATTATTTACTATTGACCAGCACTTTTTTCGCTTTTCACTCGAAAAACAAATATGGTTTGTTCAAAACGCTTCAAACTAGACGCCGCAAAGGGCTCGGATCGAGTATAAGTATGCTTTCGTGTGGTCTTTTATACCAGGTCCCTCGTAAGCAAGTCGATGGCGCTTTTTGCTCTTCACTATATCGCGTTACACACTCATTAGCTACCTTTGGTTCGCCAAAACTTAGAGATTGGCGAAACGAACGAGCAACTGGCATAAACTATTCACAATAGTCAAACTTGTTTAATATCTACATAGAAACTCATCGAGTTACTCCACTTTAATGAGGTGTTTGCAAACTCTCTTTTCTGCAATTTAGCTGTAAAAGTTTGTCGTTGCTTGCGCATTAAAATTTTTTTTGAGAAGCAGAGTTCAAACAGAGCGAGCAGATAAATTGCAAATCCAAGGAGGCTATTAGTGAACACTATCCCTCTTATCTTTTTCTTCGCAGAGGCACGGAACACTTTTGGCTTTTCAGGGTGAAACAGAGACCTTTTTGTTAAAACTTCCTACGTATTGAAATTATTTTCACGAAATTTAAGCATATCGAAATCCATGCGGTAAAAATAATGAATTTTCATTTTTTTTGGTAACGAAGCTCTATCTTTAAATTTTTATAAGCACACTTTTTTCGACACTGTACTTATCCTAATCAATAATTTTTGTTGGCTCTGATCCGCACTATTTTACCTGCAACCTGATTTAATTTTGTCTTTAAGAAAATGGTGTCTATAATTAGTTTTTGGTGAAGAAAATTACTTTTGTGTAATGCAATGCAAAAACACTTTATAAGACAACAAATGCAAACCCTATAATAAAAACATTTCATTGTCCTTAACTACGTTGAATTAAGGATAAAAAGTATTCACTACAAAGAACTGCTATTTACTTTCTACCTAAGTACCCACCTTTCATTATATTTTACCTGCTCGTAAGTTTGAGAAACATTCGTAAAATTCGAAACGACTAAGTATGTAGTTGACTTTTCGCTTTAATTTTTAAGTCATAAAACCCTTTTTTAAGTAGATATTTTACTTTAGTACCTTAAAGTGCTACATTTTATTTTTATTACATTTTCAGCCATCTACCGTTCTTTGATCCTCTTAGCTAACTACATAACTGCGTCCTATTTTATGAGCGAAAGTACTGTTTCGCAACATTTTCCACTAATTAACTTTTAGCGTATATCAGCGTTGTTGCTGCGTATCCCTCTGACATCCGCATGCTCCACGCTGCTCGACACTTACTTGCTGGTTGGATGGGCGAACATTTGTGTGTAAGTATGCACATTAGGGCGGGTCAATTTTTTTTTTTTAATATGCGCGTATAGCATAGCAGGATTCTACGTGCAATTCTAATAAAATTTTCCGAAGAAACAGGCGGTCTAAAATCAATTTGGAGTTTGTCAAATTGAGAAAATTGGTTTCGCAGAAAATGTCAAAATTTTCCCTCTTGCGCCCACTGGTGGAAGTTTAAAGAAAAACGCCCATGGTTTCTTCGGCCAATTTGCTTCCAATTGCACGTAGAATCCTTCTGTGCTACACACTCTTAGTCCAAAAAAATCTCACATAAAAATTGACCCGCCTTAATGTATTTATATTAATTTTTATTTTCTCCTGTTTCGACAGCTGGCATTCATGCAACTTAACACCGTTGAACTATTTTATGAGAGAACAGAGACTATTCGTCGATTGCCCGCTGCCGCGCTGCCTGAGTGATAACCACAAAATGCGCGTCAAAAAGCTGTTGCTTGGCAACATTGTCGTCACATTGTAGTGCAACGGGATTAGGTGGCTGAATTTTACAAGAGTAAGTGCGTATACTGAGCGCCACTGATGCTACTTGACTATAAAAATATGCTTCGCATTCGTCATGAGAGTTTGATGCTGATATACGAGCTCCATGCCATCCAGCCATCCATTCATTCGGTGCAGCATCCATTTGTACCACCATTAGTTGTTACAAAATTTATGTCCTCCTCCCAATGTGTCGCAGGGAAGCAGGCAGTCGGCGAGGGAGATAGAGCGACAGCTATAGGAGACAGGATAATAGCGGTGTCAGCTACTCACATTCACTGCCTGTGCATTTTGACATGGGAGCTTGACATTCAGCGCTTATCCTGACAAATCCAGCTGGTCGCTATCACAACGCGCGCAACAACTACGACGGCAATCATTGCCAAGCTAACAGTTGTTTTGCGTTGCCGTTTGACGACGCACTTGAACGTCTGTCTGCTGACCGCAGTGGCAGCACCCACTACTATAGATACATACGCTTTCAAATGAAGCCCAGCAGCATTACACTGACTGATTGTTGGTGTTGAACACTTGAGTACTGAAGCAGTCTCCCAGCGCCGCCGGGCGCTTGTAAAGGGGAGGCGTTTATGTTGTGAATTTTATGTGACGTTTGCGTTGTCGCAACTGCCACTTGAGACTTTTACGACTGCTGGTTGTGCTGCTGCTGCTGGTGCTGTAATTGTCGCAGTTTATGTTGCCAATGTTGCTGCCCTAAAGTTGCCATCCGACGAGGGTACTAGAGAATAAATATGTTGAGCTCAACCGGTTGCGGGTTAGTTTATGGTGTGTTGAGTTGGTTAGCAGTTGGCTGAAGTGTTGGGAATGTTGCGAAGCGTAATTGAAGCGATGATACACTTAAAATTATGGACGACTTTTAGAAATCTGCTTCATGAAACTAACTCGTTTTTCGCAGAATCTTTACAGACTATTTTTATTTGAATTGAATGTCGAATAAAATTTTGTAAGAACTTACAAAAAATAAAAGCTTTATCCAAAAAAGACTTATGCATTTCAAAAGGAAATAAAATTTAGATCCAGGAGCTGTTCAGAGAGGACAAACGCAAAAATAAAGATAACGACTAAGGACAAAGATAAAGGAAAAGACTCAAAAATATGGATACAGATAATGATTTTTGTAAGCATAACATTTTAGTGTAATTTTCTACATATTTAATTTGGCCGGAACCACCTTCTATTGATTCGCCCTGGCATCAGCCTTCTCGAAACCATCGTCTTTATGATCTGTCAACCAGTGAATAAACAATCACCCATCTATTGTCCCAGAGTTCATCTATTTTTGTTCTGCACTGTCGTAGACGGACGAAAGTGTGGCACAGCAGTTACTTGTTAAATGACAGCCTTTCTCCGATTATCAATGAATATGCCTACACGAAAGTTAGGAGGGGTGAGCTCAACCCCCGACTCTGATAATTTTCGGGTTGAAGCTTGTTGAGAATTTTGTATTCTTTGTGTAGTTCATTTCCATTTAAATTCGACCGGTACACATTTTTACATTTTTTTTTGCTTTTTGGTGTACCTAATTCCGAAAATTCATAACTTCTAAGTTTCTCGAGACTCCTTCTGGAAAAAATGTTATCGGAAAGGAAATTTTATAATCTTTTTTATCGAGTGCTAGCAAATACCCGGCTTCACTGCGCCTTAAACGTATTTTTGTGCTGTTTGATACCCGTTTTGTAATATTTCATTTACTTTGTCAATTTAATTTTTCAAACAGGCGGCAGCCCTCCCCAAAAATATTGTCGGCAGTAAAATTTTCTAAACCTTTTCAGTTTGATAACCATATTGTAATGTTGAATTTATCTGACCAATTAAATTAAATTAAAAATTTTGAAACATTCTACAAAAATATTTTCGACTTTAAGCCTTCCTGAAACTCTTTTTTTTGGCAGCCATCTTGCAATATTTTTATTTATTTTATCAATTTAGTTAAATAGCAATTTTCAAACAGGTGGCAACTCTCAAAATTCTTTCTTTCTATATTTTAGTTTAGGTTTCTAGCAATACACCGGTGAAAACTGCATTCAATTCCCTGAATTAATTTTCGTGTGATGCGCGTACAAACATACAGACAGACAGTCAAAAATTATATCTTAGTCATCTCTAAATCAAATAGGGGTCAAAACTAAAAATCCCAAACCTAACTTAATAAAATTACATACAGAGTTTTTTATCTTACGAGTGTTATTCATGTTGTTTCCAGATACTTGAAAACTTTCAATCCAAATCCGTCGAACCTGATTAACAGGCAGATGTGAACACCCCAATTATTTGTAGCATGATTGTATTGTTCAACAGAAAAAAATGTAAAATGTTTATTGCTCTATGATTTTTTCCCTTCATAATTTCTTGCAGTGTTTTTTGTGGATTGCCAACAATGGCTCCGCGTTGACATTGTTTCCTTTTGTGCCATAGCTAATGTTTGATTGTTTTATGGTAGTAATGCACGTAACTTTTGTTGTGATTACTACTCGACGTATCCTTGGTGCTCATTAAATTTATAAAAAAAAAATTATTGTTCAAAATAAGCTTAAGTGGGAAAAGTACGGAGTATAAGTACTACATTTAGACAGAAATAAAGTTAGAGGCAATGCTTCTCTTGCTTTTCTGGGTAAGGGTGAGGTAGTTGGTTCCCGGAGAATGCTATATTTTTTGGAAATAAAAGTCTAATATTCTCGCAAAAAATTGATGTATGGCCCAGATGTTGCACGATAAATAGGTAAATATGATGAATGCATTACGACCAAGAGATCTATAGTGGCCTCAACCATGCAGAGTACCTCATCCAACCGTAGAGATCCAAGATATTTCAAGAGAGCTCCAAGCGTTAGCGATTGTATGAACACAATACCTTTTCTGTCTTCTTGCAACCAACACCCACTCGCGAAGCAGGTGAACTAACTGGATGCATAAAATATACACGTATCTTTCTAGTAGAGTCTCTAAACAATTTCAGTAA